CTCGATCGATTTTCGGAGCGCCTTGACGACCGGCAAGTTCTCGGGGTCGTCTCCTTCATCGATGGACCTCTTTCTCTTAGCAGATGTTCTCTTGAACTTGACCAGCTGCTCTTGAAGATTGACGACATCCTTGGCGTACGACTGTTGGATGATTGAAAGCCGAGTGTAGTCCCAGTTTCTGGTAGGCTGATGGGCGTAGTAAGGGCCTTGGCACTCCGTTTGGCAACAGTGCTGGTAGGAACGGCCATCACTGGTGACAGTGTACCATGCCAGGTCTCTGTTCGCAACGACTTTGGCAGCTGCTGCGTTCTTGTGAATGTCGCATGATCGGGAGATGACCCATCCGTCTCTCTTGCCACCAGCCTCTTGTCGAGCAATGACGCAGATAGATAAGAAGTCGACGATAGTGAAGCCTGAGCGATTGGTGTCGATGACAAAGCGCCAATGAGGTTGGACTGATCGGAAGGTGGTGCCATCGCCGCTGTACAGCGCGAGAATGGAGTTCAGTTCCAAGAGACTTCGGGCTGGGAACTCGTACTCGGCAGCGAGCTCAAGAACGACTGGCTCCCACTTCTTCCAACACTCTTCGGTGACATGGATTCGCATCGTGTCAATGCAGGGTTGTCGAGTTATTGCCAGCTGAAAATGTCGGGAATGGAGGTTCGTATCACGGGGCCGGGGCCAAGGAGGCGGGAAAGCTTGGTGACGAAAGCGAAAGAAGAAGCAGAGGGACTCAGATCGCGCTCGCCCTTGTACCAGGTACAAAGAAGCAAGAGAAGTCGGTGCGATTGAGAGGTAGGTGATGGGGGAAAGTGAAGCAAGAGTCTGCAATAGCTCTGAAGGTTTTGAATTCCCTCACAATAGGGCGAAGCGAGGAAGGTTTGAGATGGGAGGTGCAAAAAAGAAAGAGGCAGGGGCTCCCGCGGGGATTCGGGAAAACTATTCTGATAGTTTTATGGTAAAGCGAGTGGGAAAGAGCGATGGTTGCTCTGAGAGCAGGTGTAAAAAGGTGAAGACCATCATTGACGAGGAAGGAGCAGCACCCACCTCACGTGAGGTCCTCCGTCCAAGGCACCTGCCAACTTGAACCCACTTGTCAATTGATGTGGCATCTGAATCATACCTTAACTGAGAAACATCCATGGATGTGATCGAGAACTCTCTCACCTCTCGCTCCCTATCGATCCTTCATCATGCTTAAAGCTTTGATGATACGTCTGCCATCACTGGAGATCTTGACACACTCTGATACTCTATGTTCCCAACTAGCCTCAAGACTAGGCAGACAAGGTTCAGAATGCATGGAAGTCGCGAGGACCTTCAAAGAATTCAGGAGCTTGGCCCCATTTCCTATCGAGAGCGCCTGCGCCTGCATCAAGGATGCCTCCTCACCACATTCGACTAGCTTTGGCCCATTCATACCTTTCTGTCCATGTCATCAACAGCATGAGACAGCCCTTTCTAAGAGACAACATCAAACGAAAGTACTTGGCACCGTGGAAGATACCGTCATGGTTGCCCTCTTGCACATCAGAATGGCTGATGAGGGGAACAACTACACAGCGGAGATCACACTTGCTAGTCCCTGAAGCATCTGGACATGGAAATATTGACGAGATTTCCAGAGGCAAGTATCCAGGATTGCATGTAGCCAGAAACGAGGCCCAAACCAGGTTTGCAGTATCCACGCTTACCGAGTTGAATGTTCAACAAGAGCCATCACCAGCTACTTCGCCCAGATACTTAAGCTGGCTCCAGCTCGAACTTTACCATTGTTAGTTGCCCACACTTCCAGCTCATGAGCGACACCGGCACAGTCAGTACATTTGACCGGCAGCGTCATCGATCGACCTACATGGTCGAGGAAGCTGAGGCTGACACACAGCACAGAGGGATATAACACTGTTTGGCAACAAATTAAATCTGGCGTGTATTTGAAGTCTCTGCTCTACGAGATGTATCTCTACCATGCCCCATCTAGAGCGCCAACCCATGCAATCATTTATAAGTACTGTACAGTTTACATTACACATTCGGTGCAAGGAGATCATATTTAACGCAACGTTCAACCTAGGGATCATTAGCAAGGGTACACCATCGACAGAAACGGGATCACTACTCACATCTTCAATGCTCGCCTGCAAGAACCGCCGGGTCTCCAGGCCAGCCCACACAACCAACATGCTGAAATCACCATGCTTCGCCATCTCGGCACCGCTCTGAGCGCTCAGCTGCCGGAGAATGGGCAGAGAGCTACTCAGAAGGTCCATATCCGGGTTCAGACTGCGTCCGATGCCTTCGAGCAGGAGGATACTGATGACGACGTTGACGAAATCACCCTCAAGACGGACGTGGTGCCCGCGGACCATACCCAAGACCTCCTGCAAGATGTCGCCAATCTTGATGTTGCCCAGCGCGAGGGTGCGGCTCTTGACGCCGAGAACCAGGTGCTGCATCTTGAGCGCAAACACTTCCTTGTCGAGCACGGCGTCAGGCTGGCGGCAGCGCTCGCACATGAGGTTACCAGCCTTGTATCCATCAAATTCTGCGACGGCGCGGAAGAGGTCGAGGAAATTTGTTCGGTTCGTCTCGTTGAGCTCCGTCACCAGACCCGTGTCGATGAAGATGAGTTGCGGGCGGAAGCCCTCGTTGTCAATCTTGCGCAACTCGGCCGCCCAGGCAGCAGGGTCCTTCCTATGGCGGTAAGGTCGCAGGCGGGCGAGGACCTGTTCTGTGACGTCGTCTTGGTCTTCTGGGTGCTCCTTGGCGTGGTTTCTGCGGAACTTGAGATCCGGCTCATGGGATTGGTAGAAGCGAACCATGATGTTGCCTGGGTGCAGATCGGCGTGGACAAAGTTGTCAATCAAGAGCATGCGCAAGAAGGCATCAAGGCCCTCCGAGGCAATATCATGCTGGAAGACGCCGCCGCCGTTCTCCATGAAGTCGGCCAGCGGGATGCCCTGAGCGAATTCCTCAACTAACACGTTGCGGGTGGTGAACTCGGTGTACGGATACGGGAACCATGCTGTCGTGCGGTCCTTGAAGTTCTTGCGGAACTTGGCGAGATTGGCGGCCTCGATGCGGAGGTCGAGCTGAAGCTTCATCATCTCGCCAAACTGCGCGACCTCGTCGGGGAGGGAGAGCCATTCGATGGTGGGTATAACGTTGAGGGCGGAGGCAAAGAAGTGCATGATGCGCAGATCTCGGCGGACGGTCCTCTCGACGCGAGGGTGCAGGACTTTTACAGCGACATAGGTGGAGGGAACCCTCTTCGGAGTGCTCTTGAGAGCAGCATCGACGTTCTTTGCGACCTTGTGACGGAGCGGCCGGGGTTCTTCCGGAAGGTCTGCGTCGCCGGGGGCCGCGAGACTGGCCTTGAGCTTGGCCCGGTAGACCTGGGCGATGGCGCCGACGCCAAGGGGCTTCTCGTCAAATTCTTCAAAAATGTCGTTGAAATCGCGTCCGTCAAAGGCGGCAGAGACGATGCGCTTGGTGTCGTGCATGGAGTGCGCCGGGGCGTTGGAGTGCAGTTTTGACATGATTTCGCACATTTCGTTGGGAAAGATGTCGGAGCGAGAGGCGGCCCATTGACCGAGCTGCGCGGTGTTAGTGACATTGCTATATCTGAGATTCGAGGTGATTGCTGAAAAGTACCTTGATAAAAGCTGGGCCAGCCCACTCCATGGACTGAACCAAAAAGCCGTACCACCATAGCGTGCCACTCCTCTCGTTATCGCGATCTTTCTGCCGCCTGCCGAGCCACAGAGCAGGAACAGCAACGATGACGGGAACAAAGATGATGAGCAGATGCAGAAACCGCACGCCGGTGCATAGGGGCTCCCAAAGATAGACGTCCACAGCAATCTTCAGCGTATGCCACGCCCTCGAAATCCCGCTATCGTCGTCGGCGACCTTCTTCTTGATCTCGGCTCGGCTGACCTCCAGCATGCGCTTCTCGCCCGTCTGGTCGGTGCCTCCATTATCCTTCTCCGAGAGCTCAAAGAAGGCTGCCGTGCCGAGGGCACCGGCACCTGCACCGCCGGCTCGGAGGGTGTATCTCTTGTATCTACTGCTGCTCCCACTGCTGCCGCCGGTTTGCCATGGTATCCGTCTCGACTGCTGGGAGCTCCGGAAGGTGCTCCTGAATGTGGAGTAGAATTGGGTGGTGGTGCCGTTCGGCGCTGGTGCTCGGAAGGCCGGACGTGGACAAAACCGGCCCAGTACGAAGGCCAGTCTCATCTCGAGGGAGGATCGGGGGTTGATGATCGGAGGACCGGTGTCATGTTCTCAGTGTCGCAGGGTGGGGGGAAGAATGATGAGGTACGAAGTGGGAGGGGGCGAAAAGGCGGCGCGAAAGGAAGGTGAAGTCGCGCGGCGCCCAGGATCGCGGGATCGGGGACCACGGGGTGACGGACGAATGCGAATGGAATAGGGCGTTGTTGGTGCCATTGGGTGGTGACGTAGGGATTTTTGGTGGCACTGGTGGGTATCTTCCTTTAGCTGTGGCGGGGAATCTTCGGGGAATCATGTGCCACTCGGTTCAATGACACTCGCATTTTCAGCACTCTGCACGCTGCACCTTACTGATGGGTATTGCGTAAGGTGTTGCGTGCAGCAATTGGTTAGGCGCCGCGGGTTTAAGTCGGAAAGCTGTCGCGGGTCTGTCCGATGGCGACAGCGCTGTTCTGCAGGGGATGCTTCTTTTTTTTTCTCAGCGGGCAAGGCACAGACAGTGAGCCACTACAGTCCCGTCGATTACGGATGCTAAGAACCCACCGTGGAACCTTGCCGTTTATCCACGCCCTTTTTTTCTCTTATCGTCGATTCCGTCACCCAAACCGTAAATCTTTTTTTTTCCTTCCCAAGTTTCATTCGCGATACCCTCAACCAACTTCACCACTTCACCCGTGTGTTCGTCGCGTCCAACCTGCCTTCTTGTACGATACCTTACCTACTCTTCCCACTTACCTATTTCACCTAATCTTTTCAACTATACAATCATGGGTTGGTTCTGGGCCGATGCTCCTGCGACACCCGTCCACGCGACGTTCGCCTCGTCGCATCCTCATGGCGCTATTCCGTCCGGCTCTCCTCCTGTATGTTAAGCACCAATCCAAGCAACGACTGGCATTCTCTAACATTTCCCAGCCCAGCTGCCCGATGCACCAAAAGTCTGCCGATGCGTTGACAACAGCAAAGCCCGCCGCACCCGCTCCTCCCTCCGCCTGCCCAGTCCCTCACGATCAGCGCCACGCCGCAGCAGCAGCAGCTCCTCCTCCCCTCTCAGCATGCCCCGTCCCCCACGACCAACGACACTCCGCCGCCGCGGCACCGCCGGCATCATGCCCGGTACCCCACGACGCACCAAAGCCCGCCGAGTCCAAGGGCTTCCTCCAGCAAATCAACCCCCTAAACTACATGTTCAAGGAAATCTCACAAGCGCCCGCCGAAAACCAAGCCGTCGCGCTGCCGACCGAGAGAGAACCCTCCACGATACCCAGGGGCTCCGGCGACGGCAACTGGGAGTATCCTTCCCCTCAGCAGATGTACAACGCCCTCCTGCGCAAGGGGTACACCGACACCGACATCACCGCCGTCGAGTCCATGGTCTCGGTGCACAACTTTTTGAACGAGGGCGCCTGGGCTGAGATTGTCAGCTGGGAGGAGCGCTTCGGCAAGGGTCTTTACCGGGGCTGGCAGGCGTGCAAGCGCGGCGAGGAGAACTCGGAGGATATGGTTGAGAGGCTGAAGGACGGCTCGGAGACGCCGCCGACGCTCATCCGGTTCCAGGGGCGTCCGAAGGATATGACGCCCAAGGCTGTTATGTGGCAGGTTGCCGGCTGGCTCTACCCATCAAAGTTTGAGTGCGTCCCCTCTCACTCTTCAACCTCTTCTTCAACAGAATGCTAACGTTACTCACAGGACCGAGCCTCCCTTTGACCGACACGACTGGTTCGTCTCCCGCAAGGTCGGCGGCGTTGAAAAGGAAATCCGATACGTCATCGACTACTACTCTGGCGAGCCCGAACCCACTGGCGAACCCGTCTTCTACCTCGACGTCCGGCCCGCCGTCACACCCCTCGGTGCTGCGGAGCGGCTCATCAGATGGGGAGGCGACGTGTGGTGGCGGGCTTCTGGCGCCGAGGTGCGCGAGCAGGAGCAGCTTGCCAAGCAGGCAGCGCAGAAGTAAGCGCAGGAGACAAGCAAAAAGGGGACGACGAAAAACAACGAAGCGAAGGCGAACGAAATAAAGTACCGAGATGAGAGTAGGCAGGTTTACCTGCTTGCGGCGTGTATAACTTGGGAGGCCAGATTATGGTGTTTTTGACGGGGTTTCACTCGACGGCGGCGTTTTGACACGATACAAAGGTTCGATTATCTGGGATACCAAAAGGAGGAGAACATCCTTTCTTCTTCTTTTCCTATACTCCCCCCACTCCTCATGTTTTGATTACTATGCCTATAATGGCCTGTATAGTACGCCCAGAAAGTGGCATGTATTCTACCTCTTTTTCTTCAACGTTGAGACGACACGAAACGGATGAAATAAAAAAGATTTGTTTCCAATTCACATTAGTTCTCCCCAGCATTGAACTTTTTGTAATTTCCGCCTTGAGCTTTCGCTTCACAAGTGAAGGCAACCACTTTCTACCATACGACAGATTAGGTCGTCTTGGCCGCCAGAGCAGTAACCTGATCCAACAAAGCCTTACTCTCCTTGGGCGCATTCTTCAACACCTTATCCCGCAAATGATCAACCTGCTGGCCTGCCGCCGCAGGCGGATTCCCCTGCGCCGTCTGGATTCTCGAAACCTGCATCGACAAGAAGAACTTGGGCACCTTGATACCCAAGTTCCCGCCCACAGACCTGATTCCGGCCTCGGTAGCGACATACGCGTCCAGCTCGTTTTGGAACTTGGCGAGGTCGTTGGAGGCCAGGGGTTCCGTGGTGGCGAACTTGTCGAGGGCAAAAGCCAAAGGTGTCTGGGAGGAGTCGGCGAAGTTGATGGAGGAGAAGGTGACGCCGCCGGCGGAGACGTCGGGGACGTTGGAGAGGGTCTTTTTGGAGGCGTCGCAGGTGATTTTGGATTCGAGGGAGGCGGCGGCGTCGGAGACTTCTTGGGGGAGGACGGTGTTGCCTACGATGAAGCAGGCGTTTTGGCGGGGGGCGAGTTGGGGGGCTATGATGATGTTGTGTTAGTTTCTTAGTATTCCTTTGGTGTATTTTTTTTTTGGTATATGATTGAGATGATGGCTGGGAATGTGTGTGTGTGTGTGTGCGTGTATATGTGTTGATGGGATGTCTTACCTGCGAGAGCGGCACCGGCACTGGCGGCGATGATGGCGAGAGAGAGCTGCATCGTGACGATTATGAAGTAGTCTGATGAACAGAGAGGTGGTCTTGAGAAGTGATGCGAAGAGGAAACGAAACGAAGCGAATGCCTTTCCGGAAGGACTGTATGAAGGAGAAAGTAAAAAAGAACGAATAGTTTGGGATTAACTTGCTGCTATCTCTTTAGAAACAAGGACAACTCGAGGCGGGACATGATCGCCTTTTAAGCATCACATCACATTCACATCGCAAGGGGAAAGAGAGCAAGGGCAGACAGAGCAGGGGTGGGTGTTACGGTGGGTTGCTTGGCAAATAAGCATAGGGCCGGTATTAGGTTTCCTGTGCCTGGGCGGTCCCCAGTCCAGGTTCTAAACATCGCCAAAACTTGCTCTTGTCACATTTTGTGGGAGTCTGGTGTGGTTTGCTTTGCTTGTTCCCCTGGTGAAAGCTTTCTGGGAGATGAGGTCAAGAGTGATACCTTGGGCGAAGTCAACTTACTTTTGACGAAAGAACCATCTCATGATTCTCGTCATCCCAGGTCTTGCTGTCAGTATCCCGTGGGAAATGGTAGTTTGGGATCATGAGCCCTGTCAAGCATTGAGCCAAAATCTCGGATGATGGGTGCCGGGGATGAGGAAGGAGAGGGAAAGAATTTAGGTTGGCATAGTCTCAAGGAGTCCGCGCGAAGCGTGTGTTCCTTGCCGAGGGAGGCTGTACCTGGCGGCGTGTGGTATACACACACCAGTTGAACCGTGACCATGGTACTATTCGCAGAGGCGGAGGGCAGACAAGACTGACAAGAGCCCCAAAAAGAGAAGGCTCTTTGCAACAATCCGAGTCTCGAAGGCTAGTCGGGTCGTCGCTCGATGCGGTAAGGCTGTCCCTGACGGCCTGCTTTTGAGCCGCTTGTGTCTCGGGCTATTTTGTGGTTCCCTTGCCCCATGTCTCCATCTGAATTAGAGACCCGATGACCCAGTGTCACCGGTCTTTTAGCGACAGACATGACAGGCCAGCTCAAACCTTGAAATGGGAAGAGAGAGAGCATAAGAGGGAGTCGCGTCAAAGTTGGTGGGTGGGTTGATTGGATGCGAGACAATGGTGGGGTTCACCTCTTCTTTCTTTCTTCTCTTCCCCCTTCGCTTCAGATCCGAGGAGCACCCCTGGTCCCTGTCTCAACCACAACACCAGACGGGATGGTTTCAGGGTTCGTTGAGCCACACCAATAGCGAAACGGCCTACGGGGATCGTAGGTGTTGCAGAGTTGAGGAGCGCGGCGCGGGTTGCGACGTCGTGGGAGAGCCTCCTCCCTTTTCGTCGTGGTTGTCCTGGAAAGCTGGGGTGGTTGCTGGAGAGTGCGGTGGTATTTGTTCGTGTTCTTCTCCCCTTCTTTGCTTAAGGTAGTGAGAGAGTTGCGGCTCCTGCCATGGTGGCTTGGCTTCGGGACGTCGGCCGAGAAGGACGCTGCTATTGAGACGTGAGCGACATATTGGCTCGCTTCGAGTGATCATTTCTTGCAGCTTGCAACGTTGGAGATGAAGAGGGCTTTGGCTCGATGCTCTGGGTCACTAGTAGCCAGCGATCCCCGGTTCCAACGCGGGTTAGAGGCAATGCTAGCCTTTGGCGATTCGCGCAAGTCTCCGAGGAGTCCTTAGGGAAAGGCCTATTAGCAATCAAGAATTACTCTGTTTTGATAATTGATTAAAGGGCTTTGAAGCAAAGTCATGCATCGCAGCCAACTGTCTACCATGTCTTGAGTGCATGGTGACTGCAACTCCCCGGCCCATCATCTGAAGATCAACGAACCGTGCTATTGACAAGTGGAGATCTTTCAAGTACCTAGACTCTACGCACCCAAAATATCATCTCAATTGAGTCACCCAAATTTGCAGCTCCTTTCTTGGGTTCTATACCGAATGATCTCAGGTGAGTCACTTAGGGTATCTTTCGTGTTGGTTGTAAAACCCCCACAATCTTGCGTGCATTCTACCACCAACGACCAATCCTCTGCCCTGTCTCTCCGCGGCGCAGAAAGATAACTAAGATGAACCAGGCTGATGTCATCAACGCTAAACCACATCTCACATAACCAACATGGCTTACAAACATTCGAGACCCACCGCTCATGGCGAGATATAAACCGACGATAGATGCGCACAATGGTCCATAGTTGATATACACACATCCCGTGATAATTCATTGATGACAACATCTACAAACCAAGACACTTCTTCCACGCAAGTTCTCAAAATGGGTGTGACTGAATTCTCCTACTTCACCATCAAGCCTGGCAAGACGATCCCCGACGAGGATGGTCTCTATGACCGCGTCTTGGACCTCGCCGTAAACCAGCCCGGCGCCGGGAGCTTATACTACGGCAGCTCAATCGAGAAGCCTGAGCAGGCGTGGTGTTTCCTCGACTGGGATTCTGTAGAGGAGCACTTAGCTTACCGCGACACCGAGTAAGTCTGACACCACGCTCATAACTATGAGAAGCAGATTCTTCATGCTATTGACAATCAACATACTTACTCACTCCCCTTTATCACAGCACCCACGCCCCCATAGGCAAAGCCCTCGGTCCCTACCTAGACTGGACCCAAGGCTACATAAAACACATCACGCCCGCCGTCTGGCCACCAGCGATCCTCTCCACAGCCCCCGTCACTGAAGTCCTCACCCTCTTCTTCCCGTCCGACCTCGACTCGGCCGCCAAGGAGGCCCTCACGGCGCAGCTGGAGGAGTTCAAGACCAAGGCGCTCGACACGAGCCCTGACTTCCAGGGGATTAGTTACGGGTGGAGCGTCGAGAACGACGTGCCTGTTACGGACGAGCCTGGGAAGACGGGGAACTTGCTGGCTGCGTTTATCGGGTGGCCGAGCGTGGATGCGCATATGAAGTTTCGCGAGACGGAGCCGTTTAAGGAGAATATTGGGCTTTTGAGGGGGATGGAGGGGATTGTTAAGTTGGGGGTGTTTCATGTTAGCTGTAAGACGAAGAACCCTCCTAAGAAGGAGTAAGGGGGCTGTGTGAATGCGCGTAAAAGGGGCTTTGGTATCCTAAAGAGAGCTATCTGTATGATGGTTACTGTCTTACGGGTTACCATCCGATGTGGATCTACGCTCTACCTGGGAACAAAATGAGTCTACATGCGCTTATTCTCGGACTCGACTTTCAAGTTTGTGCCCCGTATGTTGGTTAGTACATGTAGGTTTGCTGTTAAGAGATGCCAGACTCAGTCAACCGAGGCCATCACTTTCAACTCGTAGCTCCACAGTCTTGGCAGACAGCTTGAGCAAGTTGCGAGTCTAGTGCCGGCACGTAGTCGTATCGCAGTATCAAGTTGATTATAACTTTCTACAACTCAGCAATGAGAATAAAAGAGACACATGGGTCAATGCAATATTTCGTAATGAAGACTTTGTATTCGATACGCTCCCAGCAAGACATTCTTGGCATCTGACAAGCCAAAGCTATGACATCATTCTCAAGGGATTTAATAACCATTCAGCTCTGTCATATGTCCTAGCCTGTAGCTTTGCTGCTGATTCTGGCTCCTGGATAAGAATCAGCTTCGGTCTTTAACCCCAGTATATCGGCAGAGACTTAAGCTTACCGAAGAGTTTCATAGCCCGAAACCACTTAGTTGCACTTGTGGCGACGGTTGTAAGCACCACCACTGATGCAGGTGTCGACATAGTATCCCTTGGGGCACTGGCAGGTACCGGTGGAGGTAGGGCCGCCGGCGTAGGTGCACGACAGGGCGCAACGGGATCCGCCGTCACCGTTGGTGCCGGCCTTGCCACACGAAGCGTAGCCGGAACCGCAGAGCTTGGAGGGGAAAATGGTGTTGGCGTCACCGGCGGGAATGGTACCCGCGGCAGCGAGGGAGAGCATGGCGCTCACGGCGAGGGTGAAGGTGGTGGAGAACTGCATTTTGGTGGATGGAGTTTGGTTGTTATTGGTGTAGGTTTGTAAAAGAAAGCGTGTAAGTTGAGTTTGTAGTGAGTGTTGTAGTGGATGTGTTGATGATGATGAGATTCGAGAATGGCAGACAATGGTTGTGGTCTTTATAGTCTGAGAAACCGAACATCGCGAAGTCTTGAAGCCCACGAGGTCAGGCAACATCTTCACAGCCCGGATTCCCGGCATCGTCCCCAATCAATTTGATGATGCTAGGCTGTGCTGCGAGTCTGCTGCCCGCAACATATTACGCTTAGCGTCGATTTCCATACCGTCAAAGTGTTGATCACAAGGAGCGGTATGGGAACAGACTAATTCGTAACTACGAAATATCAGCCCTGCCTTCGGTTTCTAGATGAAGTGGAGTTCATACTGATGCTTAGCCCTACGGGGTACCCGTACTTCGTACAGATTGTCCCAATAGAATTGGACGATCTGCCCTCGGTCTCGGGAAGAAAAGAAGAAAAGGGACCCGTATCTCGGTTTTTAGAGTTGTGCACGTCCTACGCAGTATATTAACCTCGCTGGCTTGACGCTTGTGTTTAGGTGTTGGTTTATGACTCGAGTTTTACGGGGTGTTGAACTTTGCACACCGGGAAATGCGAAGATCGTCAACCCGATTATCCACCCCGGGCCCCTTTCTACAGCCGCGTATTCAACAAGTGAATTGTGCGCCAGACACACTGTCGCATGAGAGAAAGTGGCACCCAGGTGGACACTCATAAGCTTTTTACAATTTGTTCTTCGGAGCAACTTTGCATCCCGCACCCGTTAACACAGAACTCAATTCTGTCTAAGTGGCCACAGCTCAGCAATGGCAGCCAACATATTGATCTCAACGGGGAGGTTGATTATAAAATCATGTAATCAAGTGTTGATTTGGGGAAGAAGGAGACATGATCGGGAATGATGGCTCGTTTTACCTAACAAAGCAAAAGAAAACAGTCTCTCTACAAAGACGGTCGGAATTCGGCATACATGTCCATAGTCGATAGTTTCTTGGACGCCAAGAATGAATATGTTCATCTGAAGTCTGTTTATTTGGGGTATTGGCATCCCATCTCAAGCACGCTCTGTTTGAATCGCTAGTTGCAGTCTGGTGTTCAACACCCTTCCCAGCCACTGATAATCACCCTCTCTAATCAACAATAGTCCACGACCCAGAAGGGCCATACTCAATCTCATGCGACGTGACATCCTCAAAGTCAAGAATCTTTAGCGAAGAATCGTGAATCTTGTCCACCATGGCGCCCGTCTCCGCCGACGGCTGGAACCACACTGCCGCCAGCGGCTTGGGCGTCAGCGTCTCGGAGCCGGGCGGGAGCGGGCCAAACTGGCTGACATGAACGGGGGCCTCGACGCCGTTGACGGTCTTGTAAATGACTGCCGATGCGGAGGAAGCGAGGTTCTTGAAGAGGAAGCCGTTGGCGGGGGCGGTTTCGTCCGTCGTTGTGATGCCGTCGGTCCAGTCTGGTGGGAGGGTCCAGGATTCGCCAAAAGTGATGGGTTGTTGGGTTGTTGCGACGTCGAATTTCACTGTTTGTTTGGGATTCCCGTCAGGAAATGGTCTTGGACAGTTCTAGACGGGCTCATTATCAAAGAAAAGAAAACGCACCTCCGCTTGAGAAGGCGCTCATTGTTCCTGCGATGGAGTAATCGTCTACCCATGACACGGTCAAGTTTCGAGCGCAGACTATTGCATCATATTAGTTGAACTTCAACCTAGATATGAGGGAGAGTTTCTAATCAAGTTCATACCTGAAGAATACCCGATGACGTTGAACTTGGTAGACCCAGGCCGCGCAGTCGTATCGAAGCCGAAGCCAAGGCATAACCTAAGACCGCTGGCCTTGAACTTCTGGACCATGTTCTTATCGATTTTGATGTCGAGCTTGTATTCCGTCATTTTGGCTGAGCTTGGAGATATTTGACAAGTATTTCGAATGCCGTCTACCGAAGTAATCAATCATGATCCACGGCGACGACGGACCCCTTTTTGTAGGCTGGCCCGGCATGTCTCCCCAACCCCTTAATTCTACAAGAATATCCTGATTCCGGCCAATGGCATTCTTCGGGAGAGTCTCTCGATGTCTTGTACACCACAGAAACTGAGAACACACATGCGAATGACGCATCTGTCTTGCCCACGTTCACAGCGGAGCCGCCTAGCTAGGCGAGTGCGAGAACTGCGAGTGCGATGTCTCACATCCAGGCCGAAAGGGGGATAGCCCTTGGACCATCGTTCGCGCGAGTATGTACGTTAACGGCCGCGTAGCGTCGCATAGTGCAGCAATTGCCGTTCAAATACGATTGCGGAGCGACGCTAAAGTGGTTTCTCGCCAACGGTTCGGCAAAGTGGTGATGCGACGTGCGTGATGCGGCGCGTGTGATGAAGCGATTTCTCTGGTCGAATTCGTAAAAGGAGATGATGGACGTTTGCGAGGGTCCTTTTTTTTCTTACCTCCGCCTTATCTGCGTTTTGAGAAACAGAGACATGTCTCTGGCGCGCCGTAGAAATCACGTTTTGGGTAGCTGTTGGACTGCATTGAGCAGGTTCGGAGTTCCGAATGCTTGGTTTGAGTTGCCACGCTATCTTGAACGCCGAACATGTTGAGATCTGAATCCCGAACGAACGGCATGTCGTGATAGGGGCCAAACCTCTGCCACTCTGTCGAAGTGAAAGGACAGGCGGGCACAACTGCTACATTATCCGGTTCCATGAAGGTTCTCTAGAATACAATAGATCTATTGTCTATACCCTCGCAGCTTTTGAGAGACTAGGCCAAGTTGTACCCACATCAAAGGCACGCAGTCTACTTTTCGAGGATGGTACAAAACTTTGTATTCACATGATATTCGTAACATTTCGCATCGAGTGTTTCGTCTGATCAGCTTCATTCGCTGGATTGGGTGTGCTGTTAGAAGATCAGACCAGGTTGAACTGCCGGTGGGCGGTTATCATCGTATAGTTATGATTGTTGACATGCAGTGTCATCCAAGCTCATATTTCTATTGCTGCTGCGACTTGATATAGAGGTAGAGAAAGACCACCACAAGAAGTACGAGCGAGAGCAGGCCAGCTGGGCTGATGTATACATCAGACTGCTCAGTCTCCCAAATATCAACTTCCTTGTCTTCCATCTCCGGCAGAGGCCCGGAACTATCCCGACCCTGGAACTCCTTCAATCTCTCTAATCTCTTCGTCTGATCACAGAGATCATCAAATGAGGAAACCTCCTTCAATCTCTTCGAGGTGTTCGGATCATAAAGATCAACGAACCCAGAAACCTCCTTCAAGCTCTTAAACGAGGCTCTCCCAAGAACAGGAGGATCTCCACCGCTCAGTCGATACGGCCGCAACGCCCCCAGATGAACGGAGTGACGCTGCCGAATATTCACATACGAATTCTTCGCCAGCGGAAGACGATTGTCGGGGAAGCAGAGCTGGGTGTCGGGCATGGCCGGGTGTGAGGCTGGCTTGATGGGCACATATTTAAGCCAGTGGGCCCAGTCAGGAGTGTGGGCTTGGGCGATGCCGCGGGAGCCCATGGAAGTGATCTATAGGTAAAGCAGGAGAGAGTCAGCACTATTCTGAGTATGATAGCAGTTTGGGGTTTGCCAAGGACGGCTGAGAAGGGTCACGTACCATGAATATCTCAACAAGTCCCTCGAGGGAGGGGACCCTAGACATGATGACCACCGGGTGGTTGTATGCTCCATCTTGTAGGTTGGGGTCGATGGTGGCGGGTATGTGATCCTTGGGTGGAAGCCACATAATTTGGCCAGGGAGGCTTCTGGTACTTTGGCGAGGTCTGGGGAGTTTTGTCCCTGAATTTCTGTTTGTCGGGGGCATCGTATTTCGAGATATTCGAGGTTGCCCAATGTAGAAGGAGAGGTGAAGTTGATGAGGCCAATTCAGGAATTGAAAATGGAGGTGTTGAAAAAGCCTCAAGCCATCGAAGACAGCAGATTTAGTCAGGAAACAAATCAGTGTGATGAAAATTCTTCACTGTAGACTTCTTTTCACGTCAAATCATTTTACAGTTGAGTCTTCCGGCTGGTTCTAGAGGAAGCCGAGTTCATGCTTTCCGGCTCCGTTGGTTTGAACCGTGGGTGTGAACCCTGAACTGACGCCGAGCCGCCCAAATCAAGAACAGGGGTCAGCATCCAGGTCCTCAGGCTTCAAACGATTGGGCTGCATCTGCAGGCCTTACTTGGCCGTTGGCCCTTGGAAACCAGACACTAATCATGGAACGGCCCGAACCCGGGAAGTCCGCATGCACGAATGCCATCGTTACGTGTGAGCGTTACCATAGTCTGCCCGCGCCTAGTAAAAAAAAAAGATGAGAATCAGAGTGTGGCTTGCTTAGGAGCTCAAGATGATGTGCCGCTCAGAAGGATGAGATCTTGGTGTTTCTACTGGGGCCATCATCAAGCTGATATCGCATGGGAACCCGAGTATCGCAATACTTTTTTGATGAAGCGGCATAAAGAAATTTTCATCATGTGCCTGCACAGCATACTCGATCGCATGGAAGATCGTTCAAGATGAGAGACTCTTTTGAAAATAGCATAGGAGGGGCGAAGATGTGCCAAGCGAGCGAGGCGGCGCAGCTGCTCATCAAGAAGAATCGCACCTCGCCCTATTCCAAGGAACCACAATTACACAAAGCTCTCTTCTAAAAAAGAATCTGACCAGAGAAAAGAAGGGGCCTGGAGAAATGTTTCAACTTCTGACAGGCTTGTCTACCTAACTCTTGTCAAGGTATGTGTATGTGGGTGGTGCAGAGAAACACGACCAGGGTAGACTGTTCAAACCAACAAAGAAGCATTCACCTTCACCTTTACTCTCACTCACTCTGGTCACCACTTCTTCACTGAGGCGGTAAAAGGCGCCTCTTTCAAAGCCCCTCGAGCAACGTTCTACCAGAACACATATCCTTTGTCACTCTCGTAGGAGGGGACTAGAATGGTTCATCCACGCTTGGAGGGGGAAAAGAGACCAAATGGGAACAAAATCTTTGAATGCCCGTTCCTGCTATGGCGTTAATGATTTCATGTCTTCTCCTGACCACCTGCTCTTCTCAAACGCCCAAATCGCTCCGGATTCTCGACCCAGGACCCATCTCATCAGATCCAAGATTCCACTATACATAACGCCATCACCAAGACGAGAACCCCTTCATCCTTCAAAGGCCAAGGGCTATCAAACTCGGCCTCCTGGCCTAAAACCTCAAAGGAACTTGACGATGTGCTACAAAGTCCACACGCACACAATGTCGTGCGACATCCGCCCAACCATAACATCGACAGCAACACTCTACATAAACCCCTACCAAACACCACCACACTGTCCCTGTCGCCCATCCTCCTCCCCATACACCTCCTATCACCGCTCCTCAACACCAACCAATTCCCGCCTCTGCCCCTCCCACGCCTGCTGCAGCCTCAACCTCATCCTCTACCGCTGCCCAGCCTACTGCCGCCAACCAATAGACTACCACCAATACACCGAATCTTCCTCCACCACCCAGCAGCACCACTCCTACTACCCCCAACACACCTCTCGCGCCGCCTGCTCGTACTCGTACTCCTACACAAACGACTACACGTACCCATACTCACCACACTACCCCTACCCCTACACCTCACCCCGCCCACGCTGGCGCACAATCCGCATCTTCGACCGGAACCCAGACTTCCACGCCCTCGAATCCGCCGACCTCCGCTTCGCAATCTCCGAACTGGTCGACATCGGCGGGATCCTCCTCCACGCGGAGTCTGAACTCGAGAAAGCGCGGCTGCGACTAGACCGCGAACGTCGTCGGCACGATGCCGCGCACGGGCGGTCGTGCGAGCGTCAGCGGGGTCACCAGCGAGAGCGGGAATGTCCCTGGACTCGACGTATCGCAGAGATGTCGCTCGAGGCGGACGATATCAAATTCAGCTCCGAGGTCCTGGCGGATTGCTGGGTGAAGTACGTCGGGTTGCTGCGGAAGTATGAGGGGTTGGGGCAACGGCGGGTGAGTGGGTTGATTGAAGATCGCGGGAGTCGGCGGCGGCGAAGAGGGGGAGTTGAGGTTGAGGTTGAGGTTCCCAGGGCGGACAAGGGGAAGCCGTTCAGATATGTTTCGCGGGAGAGCTGGGTTCGGGAGAAGCGTGTTCCTGAAGGGGAGCGGAAGGATCGGGAGTGTTGTCGGGAGTACAAGAAGGGGTATGGTAGACCGGAGGCGAATACAGGACGACGTCGGTCGGTGAGGTTTGCGGATGAGGTTGGTGGTGGGAAGGGGTACTTTAATGAAGGCGGGCGGAGTCGGAGGTGGTCGATATACTAGATTGCTGTCCCAAATATCCCAATTTGTGACAAGGGCGTAATAGTTCACGATATCCAAGGCGTGAGCGCCGGGTAGAGTAAACATCGCTTCATTAAGTCTTGCGTCGAGATGCTCTAAATGCTATATGCTCGCAAATGTACCGCCTAATGCATGTCCTTGACTCCAAGCTCGCTAATACGGGGTTTTCCGAACTGCGGTTGACCCTAAACAAAAACACCATTCCTGCTGACGACTAGTAGACGAGCTTGAACTCGACATCCGACTTGATGGCCTTCAGAGTCTCCGGGATCGGTAGTGGATCGTAGAATGGATTCGGACGGAACGTCACCTCCTTCAACTTCGGCAGAATGGCCTTGCTTTCGAAAACAAGCTTATACAAGGCGTCCTGCAGACCCTTTTCGTAGACTGCGCGTTCCTTTGAGGATAGCTGGTCGACCTCGACATCATGCCACAATTCCGCCAAGTCCAGAACCTCCACCGTCGGTGGCAGTCGCGAGATTATGTCAATCTTCTCAACCCACTGCGGCTTCCCGTACAAGATCCCGATATCGAGTTTCACGTTGCGCAGCGACTTCATCTTGGGAAGTATCGTGAGTGTTCCGTCTCCACCAACGTGTTGCGAGAAATTGCCCGCCAGGATACCCTCGAACGAAAAGGTCTCCAGGGTATCAGCCACCAGAGACAAAGCCGTATTCAGGTTGTGTTCACCGTCGGCAGGCTGTTCAGCTACACCGCTGGGACCCATCTCGAGGAGCTTGAGATTGGGACAAAGGGCGCATATCGCGTGCCATCCTTGACCCCACATGCTGCTCCGAACAAGTCGGAGTTCCTCGACATTCTTCCAGCTCCCGTCGTCACCCCAACCGTCGCCGGGCTCCAGAACGGCAGGACGATACACAGCTGAGCCAAGCTCCACGGAGCGCAAGTTGGGTAGTCGCAACAGGCACGGCAACTCGCGGCGAGGCCAGAAGCTCGCGCCGGGAAAGTCCGGCATCGGCTCCAGCATGACGCGGGTGAGGGAGCTCAGAACGCGCGGGCAGCCCTCGGCGGTCTCGATATCGGGGGTGAGAATGGCTTTGAGCTTCTGGTACTCTCCGGCGGCAAAAGGCATGCGCATGTGTAGAGTGCGCAGATTTGGTGAGGAGTAGAGGATGAGTGCAAAGACAATCTGGGCGAATTCGAGCTCCGTCTTGGCGTCACGCACAAACGTCTTGATGCGTTCCGGAAATCGGGGCGAGGCTTCTACGAGGCGACGCCATTCGGTGCGTTTGTATGGGCAGAGGACGTCGGTCGGATAGTGATCGGTGCCCAAACAAGAGACGTAGGAGAGGATGCGCATGTTGTCGCCTAGCTCTGGGCGTTCGAGCAGAGTCTGGAGGAGGGACTGAAGCCGTGTCTGACCCCATAGATAGACGGTCTGGTAGAGGAAAGGTATTGCTAGGTCCGAGAGCCTGCGACACACGAATGCGAGGCGGTAAAGGGCGACGCGGTTGGTGACTACAACGCCATCTGGATCGGTGTAGGCCTGGAATGGAATGTCGAGGCCATCAAGCGGCGGTGTCAAGTGGCCGACGATTTGAAGAAGAACCTCATCAGGGAGAGCAAGCAATGACAAAGACGAAGCCATTGTGAGGGAGCCGGTGAACGATGGGTGGTGAGTGAGTGAGTGAGTGAGTGAGAAATTAGGAGGAGTCGTCAAGTCGAAGGGAGAGGTGTGGAAAGGTGAGTGAGATATTAGATCTTGATTAGGCGGGGTTATGTGCCGGAGTGAGACAGCGTTGAAGTCTGTGACCGGACGAGAAAAGTTCTAGACAAGACGAAATAAAAGAGACAGATACACACACACACAGAGAGAGAGAGACGTGTGCCCAGACCTGTCTCAACCAACAGGTGGTTGGCGGGGGAGGCTGAGCAAGATGAAAGCGAGATGGTGACCTTATGTAAAGCAGCCAGTTTACTTGGCGGAGCGAGCGCGACAGCGACACATGCCAGCGAGGTTAAGGTGGAAAAGCACGCAGGGTTTGACGAGGGAGAGGTGGGAGGGCTTGCAGGAGGAGAAAACCGAGAAGAAAAGGAGGAATTTAGATGAGACGGGCGCGTGGCGTAGCAAGATTCCCCCAGGTTTTCCGCTCCGATGCACTCCACCAAGAACCCACCGTGTCAGGGACTCCCAGGCTTCAAGAGTCTCCGACAGCGAGGGGGCCCCCTTTTGACGATCCGGATGCGGCGAGTGGAGGGGTTTAGTAACTTGATTCAGTCTGCGAGATGCGGATGCGGATGCGGATGGGGGAATGGTGTGAAGGAAGTGTAAGCAAGTAAAATACCGGTAGGCAATAAGAAAAGATGGACCTTGGGTGCCATGGGGATTTGAGTGTGGGCGGAATCCCATCTTATTGACTGCTGCTGTCCCGAGGTCCTTGTCATCCAGATGCTTCTGCTGCCATGCGCGGCAAGATACGTACATATACTACATGCATATGTCTAGTACCTTGGTACTCTACTGCTTTATGGGTTCGTGCGTATGCGTATGCGTTAGAACTTGGAAGAAATTGGAATGCCATGTATCTCGGACGGGTTTCGAGAAGACCACCCCCATCGTGGAACAAGTCTTGAAGGTGAAGATACCAGCTGTCAGTCGTGACAGCAGACCAACCTGCACTTGCAATGGCAACGGGGGACGGCGGTGGTATCGGAGGAATGACGTTGCCGGAAGCGCACCCGTTCCTCGGCGATCATTGAGCTGTCTGGAGGCTTGGCTGTAACTACCCTTGATTCGGCGTGGACGTGGGCGAGGTTGGGTGACAACGCATGGTCTGCGAACGAACCGATCGGGAGGCCAGGGCCGAAGGATACACTGTCATTGTTGATTAGCCACTTGGTAAAGTTGATGGCCGGCGAGAACACTTTGGATGAAATAGCGTCGCAGCCGTGGTGTTGCGCCACATTTGGCACAGCGAGGAATTCGAAGCGACAGAAAAAGAGAGAGACCTTCACCTGGGCTGCCCGAGGTGGAAAGGTGAAAAAAGAAAAGAAAAAGGATAAAACAGTGGGACCCTGGATGGAGGGGTATCCCAATTGGGAGTAGCGCCCTGCAGACCCACCTTGGAGGGCTGGAAGCGAATGATTGGCAGATACCCGCGCCGCCTCCCTTCCGCCCCTTGACGCTGCCGTCCCTCGTCCAGCACGTCCACGCATCCAAGCTGACATCAACTCTCAAGTTTTTGACTCGATCTTCTTCAGACTTTGTTTCTCCACCGCCTCGACCAGGAGTTGGAGATGCTTGCAGTTGCGTCCAATGTGGAAAGTGCATTGCTTCATTGACAGGTCTAGCAGTTTTGATACAGTCATGTTGGCGGCTTGGCACCTTGGCTACGTTAGGGCTAACAGACTGCAGTACGGATACTCCAGACTTACACCGCAATTACCTACCCATCCCGAGTGCCATTTGGCTTGAATTGTCGACAGGAGAAGCTTGCCAGATGGAAACACGGCGGTCACGAGGGCCACACCACATAGCAGTGCGAGCGGTCTGGTAAAGGGAAATGATCCAATTTATCACGCTATGGCAGATCCGGATCGACGTGTTTGTTTGCAATCTGGCCAGGTTATGCATGTCTTGGCATCTCCCTTCTTTTGCTGTCAACTTCCATTGCTACTACTTACCTATTCATGCAGGTAAATTCCAGTCATTCATTGACCGTTGGAATGTGGATTTCAAGCCTCAGGGCAATACCGACAATGCTTTGTTCCCGGCACTCGCTCGTGTCGCTGCCCTCCCTGCTTACCTAAGGCCAGACGGGGACTTGACACTTGGCCCCACAGCTCGTGTGATCTCGAGCCTCAGGCACACTAACGTTTTCCCCAGGCATCAAACTCCCCAACGCATACACATCCGCCTGCTTGCGGATGTCTCCCACTCCCACTCCCACTCCCACTTTGTCGCTACCGCTCCCACAGACACACCAAAATCGCCTTCTCCAACAGGGTACCCCCAGTCATTGCGAAAAGGACGGTTCCTCGACGCCAAAGAGATCACACCACTTTCCGGGGCCTTACGGATCTCCTCCGTCAGGGATCCCACGCTTAAAACGTGGTCGACACCGTTGGCCCCCTACGGAGTAATCCAGGGTCTCTCCCGATTCCTAGGTGCCCACTGTTCCGCCGGTCTGGATTCGCTTTCAAGACGACTACACGATATCGCCGCCTACCTTATTCAGTAGCATGTCTCTTCGACGTCGTGTCGAGGGCAAAGTCGACGACTCGCACCGTGCAGACACGCAGCCTACCTGCCGGCTACCTAGGGTTCCTCGTCTTCCCGACTGCTCCCGCTGCGGTCCATGTGTCGTTGTGAAACTTAGGACCAGCTGGTTCCAAGACAGAAGCTTGTTTTTCGTCTCCTCGTCACCGTCTGGGACGAAAGTCTCCCAGACGAGCCAGCGCTTGGATAGCAAGGCATTGTTCGGCATGCTCTCCCCCCCTCAGAGGTTTATCTGAAGCCGAACTCACACAACCCGAAGAATGTTGCTCATCCCTAGTCCACTCTGCTTCCGGAGTCTCGTCGAAAGACGTCCACGGAGCGTCCTGCGTGCTGGGGCTCTGCGTGCTGGGGCAGCCTCAGCAGAGAACAACCTAGAAAGCTATGATGCCGGTCAAGTTGACCTAGGTCTCGTGCTGCCTTACCTCGTTGAACTTAGCTTCCGATTCTGGGCAGAAATTGGCTGAGTGGCCAATTCACATCGGGGACCATCTTTGACACCTTCACGATGACCCATCGTTGCCGGCAACTCTATCCAAAGTTTAGGGGGAGTGGTGCCCAGACTCGGATGGCTTCCAACTTGCAAGCGCTTTCTCTTCGCTGTGAGCCACTAGCTATGGAGGCTTCGTCACCGTCTTCATCGCGAATACTTCACCATGACTATTCCCACAGAAGTCTGCAGATTTCAGAAGCGAGCCCGCTTATTACGTCTACGTGTTGAAGCTGGTCAATACTGCGACTATATAACCTCAGTACGATTGAACTACATTGCAGCGAGCTTGATGAACGATGCCCCAATTCAATCAATCAGTTAGCCTTAGGTTCCCACAAACCATCAGCCTCTTGTCCGGAGTATTGCGCCGACTCAGGCTCGTCGCTACCGCTCACTCTATCCATGGACACTACAAGTCGTTTCCGCAGCTTCGGTGGATTATATCGGATGGGTCTCGGCGGTCCGCCATTCTCCGATTCATTGCTGCTGCTCTCTTCATTGCTGGAGCCCTCGTCTCGCGAATGTTTACTGCCGCATACCGAGTAGACCGACTGGCCCCGAGACTTTCGTCTCCCTGGACGTGTTCCCTCTCCACGCTCTTTGCATAGAATGGCAACTGCAGTAGGCACGCTTCCGCTCCCAAGGTCTCTCATAACACCCAACGCTTCCTCTTCCGTACGACCTTGATCCAGCAGCCCCTTCATCTTGTCCCAGAAGGCCTTTCGGCGAGTGAACCACGAACGACCATATGTGCCGTTTCGCCACTTGGCCCGGTACATCTTCTCTAGCAGTTCGACGGGCTGCTGACCGTGGAGGCCGTATTTATATTCTGCCCACTGCTCTTCAACTGTGGGCGGGTGCGGGTAGAACTTGAATATCGACCGCATAACTCCATCCTTGCCAACGACGGTCAGTGGGCTGAAGTACTTTGGGTCATCGTACGGGTTGACAGGATCTCTTGGGGATAGCACGTTTTGTCGAGATGCTTTACGGCGAACAATAGCTTCATTGACAGCAATGTCTGTGACTTGCTTAGCTTCGGGGGATCTAGGCCCCAGTGCTTCCGGCTCCACCTCCAACATCTCCCCCTGGTGGTCCTTGCTGTCATCGATATCGTCATTCTTCCTCCTTTTTTTCTTCAAAGGCTGATTCGCACGTCGGTTCAACGCAATTGCCCGCGGCCTAGGCGCTTTCCTGCCACTGCTTCTTCTGACCACCGGTAGCGACGCTCCAGGTGCCGTTGGTTGCGACACTTGACTCTCATAGGAAATCCGAGGCCTGGATGTCCGAACTATAGACGCCACTGTGATAGATTCCCGTCCTGGTGGCGGCACATCACATCTTTCAGCGGGCACTGGCGGCGTCGGAGATGGTGATGGAAGAGCTGTACCTCTCTCATAGCCCTCTTTACCGCCGTCGTGCTGCGCGCAATTTCTCACTGCCGGGTCTAGTGGATCGACTCCAAAAACTTCCTACTACCAGTCAGCATATCCAAGGCAACAGCCGATATCACCTCAAAGATGACCAAGCAAACCAGCCTGGCTATCGCAGAGATAGCCGGGTACGAGAGCAAACTTACCTTAACGACTGAAGTCAAGACGTTGAGCTGCTTTTCCAACCTCCTATTGACTTGGTCCACATGCTGGGCCATCTCTCGATCTGTTGCTTCTTGTCGCGCCTGCAGCTCCCTGACTTCTTTTGTGTACTCGTGCTGTAGTCCAATGACTATTTGAGCGAATCCTTCCTCTGGTGGCCTAGCAGCTGATAGTCCAGCTACAACTTCTGATTCTGGTTCATCCTCGCTGTCGGAATAGTCGACCAGCCGTCCTTGGCTATGTGCATTCATGTTTAGCCGTTGTGAGTTGATAGCCATCTCGGTCGAAACTTTTTGTGACTAATATGCTCGAATGTGAATCTTGTAGAATGCTACCCAGGCAGAAACGTTTCCCTCAACCCAGTGAGACGTACGGACGCCAACATTTATGCTCGGATCACGTACTTCTCAGGTGTCACGAAGACGCAGTGGATCAAAGACCAAGTTCGAGGGCGGTGGTCATTCCGCTCACGCATATTCTGTCGTGTGCCTGGTTCCTTTGTCTACGTTCGAGTATGAGTTTGGCCATGTGCAACCACAATCGCCATTGTACAATCACCCGTCGAACCTCAAATCGCCCCGTGCGCTTTCCTGCAAGCAAGATAAGTTAAACCCTGTGGCCTGAGTGGCTGAAGTAGAACAGAGCTGCAGCTGGGAATGACATCCTCTTCGACACTGTACCCAAGGGCTCAAGCTGTGGCAGAACAATATTAACCACTCCGATTATTCTTGTGCAACACGAACTCCGCCAGAGTCGACGGAGCCGAGAATTGAAACGCCACGAGAAGGGAAGATGAATGGGTTTGATGTTTTACTTCCTAACGGATCCTACAATTCATCCACAGATCTGATAATTACTAACTTCGCGCCAAGGTACCATCGATCCTCCAACAACTGACCCAGTAGCCAGTTTGATAGCTGGATGTCAGTCATCTTGCGAGCAAGCGACTACTGGGTTGGCTCCGAACAACAGAGAATAGTTTTGGCGACATCTTTCAACATCACCGCCCCGTCCTCATACATCATCCCAGCACCGAGAAGGCCTTCTCCGCCGGCAAGTCTCTTGAGCTGAAGCCGACCCGGAACGTAAACTCGCCCTCCGGAATCACCCATATCTTGTCCGACGCATTCCACAAACTCACATCCCGCCTCATCAGCCGGAACTCCGCTTCAGCCGAGCCGCCCGCCTCGATCTGGATCTTTTCAAAGCCCCTCAGGACCTTCTTTGGCGTGCCTTCGGGCGCAGACCCCGGAAAGGAGACATAGAGCTGCGGCACAGCAAAGGCAGTCCTGTTGCCCGTGTTCGAAATCGACGCCTTGACGCTGATGAGGTCCTCCCAAAGCTGCGGATGCCCGCCAGGCTGTATCGGGATCGCCGCGTCCGGCTGAGCAGCGACAGACGAGTTTCCTCCGATGAAGCTCACCTCGACCTGGTTGTCGACCACGGCGAACGTCGTGTACGTCAGCCCGAAGCCAAACTCATACAACGGATCAATGTCAAGCGCGTCGTAGTGGCGGTAATCAATCATCTGGCCCTCTGTGAAATCAGCCTGCCACGCAAGCGGATCAACGACAGGCTGCGTGAGGTTCACAATCGCCGGGCCGGCGTCCTCCTCGTTACGCGGAACGGAGTACGGCAGCCTGCCCGAAGGTGCGACGTCGCCCCAGAGAAGATCGACGATGGAGTTACCGCTCTCCTGGCCTGGGTAATGCGCCGCCAGGATCGCGCCAATCTTGGTGTGGTTTGCCCACGGCATGGTATTCACGCCGCCCGAGTGCGTCACCACCACCGTCGTCTCGCAGAAATCGGCCACGTTGTTGATGACAGCCGTCGAGTTCCCGTCGAGCTCAAACGACGTGCGGTCGAAGCTCTCGCTGGCGAATGTCTGCTGGAACACGAGACAGATTTCGGGCGGGGGGTACACGCCCCGGAAGTCATTCGCCGCGAGGACGTCGTTGTTGGTCACGTAGAGAACTTCCGCGCCGTATTCTGCCGCTTTGGCGCGGACGGCGGCGAGAGGGGAGATTACGTAGGACGGGCGTCCCGTGCCGGACCCGCCGCCGATGATCATTGTGCCCGTGTTGGTGTCCTCAGGGACCTCGGAGGGGCGGAGGAAGCCGTTTGTCATCTCACCCGCGTCGTTGCCGAAGACGCCGATGATCTTGGGCTTCGACAGGGGTAAGGTCTGGTTCACGTTCTTGAAGAGAACTGTGCCGGCGGAGCCCATTTCGCGGATGAGCTTCGCGTGGTCGCCGCGGACGTCGCGGCCGTGGGTGAAGATGAAGCCGTCGGGGATGAAGCCGGTATCTTTGGCGACTTGGGGGCCCACTTCTTGGAAGAGGGTCACGAAGCGGAGGGACGGGTCGGGCGAGGGGTAGGATTCTGCGTCTTGGCCCAGGAGGTAATACGGCGTCAGGATGTTGCGGACCATTTCGTCGATGCGGGACTCCGAGACCGTGCCGCTGGCCACGGCCTCGAAGACCTTGTCGCCAAAGAAGCTTGCGGCGCCGGGGTAGTTCCCCGGCACGGCGCCCGGCATCTCAAGGTCTAGACCGTTGTTGATGGAGTCCGCAGTAGAGTGCGTCGCGAACCAATCCGACACAGTGTACCCCTGGAACCCAAGCTCGTCCCGCAACAGCTCTTTCAGAAGGTGACTATTCTCGCACGCGTACGTCTGGTTGAAGCGGTTATACGAGCACATGATGGACGTCGTGCCCGCTCTAATAGCGTTGGCAAACGGCCAGAGATAAAGCTCGTGGACGGTCCTGTCGTCGACGTTGGATGAGATGGCTTCGATGACTGTTCCGTTGACCGTCGTGTTGGAGCGCTGGGTCTCTTGCTCGTTGGCGATGTAGTGCTTTGAGCAGGTCTGTACGCCGGTGGATTGCATGCCGGTGATTGTGTGCTCGATGGTGATGCCTGCTAGGTACGGGTCCGGGCCGAAGCCTTCCCAGTTGCGGCCGCCTAGGGCTGCGCGACCCATGGGGCCTGTGGAAGGACTGTTGTAGATCTGGTGTTAATACATATCCTATGATGGTATCACCTGGGGTTTGAACGAGAAAGATAGGTGAGACTAGACGTACCCTAGAATCACATGCCCACCCTTCCCCTTGAACTCCTCCGCAATCGCAACCCCCCGACGATAAATCATCTCGCGGTCCCACGTCGCCGCCGCGGTAATGCCCGAAGGGAAAACGCTGACGAGGTCGGCGCGGTTAACGGCGCTGGGTCCGTCGAGCATGCAGATTCCCTTGAAGCCGAGGCGGGGGATGGGCGCGATGACGCCGATGCAGTTGCCTGCGGAGGAGTTTCCTGTGATCATGGAGACTTTTTCTTCGAGGGTGAGGTGAGATATGAGGGTGTTGGCTAGGGCGAGGGCTGTGGGTCTGTCTCGTGTGCCTTTTGCGATGAGGGTCAGCTATGGAGTACCTTGAGGTGCAAATGAGGAGAGGATGTTGATGGGGTACGGTACGAACCATTCTTGTTGGACCGGTGGTGGACTTGGCTGGATAGGCTGAGCTGGGCTCCGGCGAGGAGGAGGAGGAGGAGTGATGTCCACAGCATGATTGGCGGTGATCCTGGCGGTGCTTGTTCAAAGTAGGATATATAGAATAGCTCGAGACGCCCATGGCCGTGAGTTTTCCTGCCCCGGGTAAAGGAAGTGTTGCCAGTTGATTTATACTCGTCAGGTATCCCCTCGGATGATGAAAACAAAACCTAGAAGCCTCGGCTACTCGTGCCAAGGAGTGTACCATGCCAAGCAGCCATCGTAAGGTGATTCGCATGTAGAGGTAGCAAGGTACGCAACGTAGTCGAAGCATTACGAGGTTAAAGACGTACTAATATCGGGCCGATGCGATTGGACTAGGATAAAGATCGACCGTACAGAAAACGAGGCGGGGGAAGGTATTTCATAGTGACTCTCGGGATTTCGGGGTAGTGATCAGGTCGTAGTCTCCTCGTCGAGCAGCTTGACCAGGGGCGGCTAGAGCTGTGAAACTGTCATTCTGGTGACTTTGACGCAACTGTTGAAGAACTTTTGTTTCCCATCTGGTATCCTAATCTTTTACCAAAACAAAATGAGATTGGCTTCTGCGAAAGGTCAGTAAAGATGAAATGCACAACAACGAGCTGTCGAAACATGTACTCAACTTTGCCGTAGGAAGCTCAAATTGAAATCACGGCACGTGTAGCAGCAATTGACTTCACCACCTTACATCATGCTTTCACTAGCTCAAAATCTCCTGGTACGAACATTCGGATCAAAAGTGACAAAATATGCATTGGACTGGCAACTAGCTCGATCTTTCCCCGGTTACTACGATCGAAGCTTGGAGGCTGTCATCCGCGTATTTAGGAAGGCAGCAGAATCGCACACTTATACGCGTATAGACTGACCTGAACACTCGGAGCCGAGAATCCATGTAACCACAACCCTTCATTTTTGAGGGGTAAGCCCATGTTTCCCCGCATATCATCCCGCAGTTCGTTTCTTTGGTCGGGCTATGGCGTCTGGGGAAGGGTTTGGATGCCGTACTGAGAGCATGGCATGACTGATGAGCTAGGCTTGGGCTGGAAATCTGGCAGATTTGGTCATGGGTCTCGTAGTCAGGTAGCCTTAATGAACAATTTCGGCAATAGGAAACACAGGCTTGTGACGTTTCTGCCATGGGAGAAGTCTCAGCGATGCTGGCTCACCATCAACGTGAGAGCGGTAACGATTTCTACATCTAGACACAAGGGCCCATGGCTTCGGTACAACCGCAGGTCAATAGTTCCTGCAAGCATCTGCCAATCTGGGGCAGACAAGCATGTCTTCGATTGGTCCGATGACTTCCAGTCTCCGGAGACCGTATTCGTGAAGCATAAGTCCGATGGTGTGGGGGCTGAACCTGGAGACGGGTTCCCCAGACTATCCGCCGGGGAAGGCCCGATTGCCTTGCATTGCCTCTTACCTACGTTATGTCGGTCTGTCAGTTGGCGACAGATATCACTCACGACAACATTCCGAAGAAGGAAAAGTGGCAAGATACATCAGGAATCAAGGAACAAGAACAATACAGAATCAAACAAAGTAGTATGGCATGCAGCGGCTGAAGTCCAATATGAGAATCGAAAGAACACTGGCATAGTTTGTACTAACAAGCGCCAAGTTCGGCCCGGTGAAGTAGGAACAACCGGAATCGGGTGGATCTAACCGCCGTTATTTCAATCTTTGCGAAAGGATGGCAATTGGTCTTTCAATGTTGTCTGAACTGTTTGCCAGACTGCGTTTTTATGAGGTATCAAGAGACAAAGTGAGGGTTATGCCGTAGCCTGGGCTGGTAGAGAAGACCTCATTGATTAATCATTAGCCAATTGACTGGTCTCGGTATCCTCAAGGCAAATCGTAATCATTCACGTTGGTGAGCTCATATAGAGATTGGTCTTTCATTCTCTGACATCATAAAGCTATGGTCAACACGACTATAGATGCGATTGCAACCGCATCGACGTTGGTTGTCAAACTGCATCCAGCGCACTCATCCTATCGAAGCTCATATCCAAAATCTCCAACACGTTTCCCCAAGGATCCCTAAAATACAGACACCTCGAGCCGCTCAGCGGATTCAGCGTCGGCTCTCCAATCTTGCTGGCCCCGGCTTGTATAGCCCGGGCCAAAAGAGCCTCTGGTTCAGCGTCTGTCACGCACAAGTGAAAGAAGCCGCCCACGTTGTAAGCGAAATCGTCGGCCTTCTTGTAAGCTGGGTCGACGAATTCAAAAACTTCAAACCCGACACCGTTGCCAGTCGCCATGAATCCCAGCTTAACCTCTTGCAAGGAGTCTGGGTAAATTTTGAAGATTCCCGCGTCTGGTGTCTCGGAGCGCTTGATGTGCTTGATTTTGCCGTTTACGAGGACAAAGCCCATGATTTCGCTATACCATTTTACTACGGCTTCAATGTCCGGGACGGACACGCCGATATGATTGATTGATCGCATGTTTGACTGCATTGCACGGACTAGTCAGTAGGAGATTACAGCATCATGTACAAAGGTGGACGGAGAGTTTCTGATGATGATCCATAGCAATAGAGAGCGGGCCACCTACGGTAGACATAATGGTCACTTCTTGGGTGGTAATTTGGTTCAGTTGTTGCAAATAGTATACGTCGAAAAGAATGATGAGACAGTAAACAGAGGGTGTTTAAGAGAACATTCACACTGAAAATGGGATCTCTCGCTATGATGATGATGATGATGATGTCTTTGTTAGGCGGTGCGTCGTCCGGCCTAGATATTGCCGGCCGGATCGGGCTGTCTGGCACGGAAACCTAATCCCGATTTCTTCTGAAGCGCCCGGAATTCTACCCCGACCGGGGCGGGGCAGTCGGCGCCAGCCGTCGGTATCGGGATTGAGAATTCGCAGCATCCGTAAATTATTTCCTAATCCTCATGCCGAACATGCAAGACTCTCGACAACCCCGAGAAAGCTCTTTGAGCTGATTGATCAATCTGGTTTCCTTGCACTCAAGGAATTGCAGCCTTGAGATGCTGTAATGCGCTGGAGCGTGGAGAGAATGATCAAGTCTCATAATGCCCCCGGTGGGCAGGTAAGCTGTTGTATGAGGCGTCAGGTCCTACATGACCTACTAGGTAATCCCTCGATGCTAAAGAATTCGATTCTCAATCAACTGTGCATGTCGTCCTTGCTTCGTCTTTGTCCAGACATGTTTTGGTTCTAGTCGTGCGTCCTTAACTACTTACTAGGTAGTCGGTTCCAAGAGGCACCGGATTCTCAAGTACACATACCCCCACGGTGCAGTGAAGCGCTATGCGACATCGCTAGGAGAATTTTATCCCGCCGGAAATTAATACCAAAACGATTCCCTTTTCATGCAGCCGCTTAATGGTAGTTCCTGCTCCTTAGCGCCAGGCGTACTTGGCATTGATCGACTGCCTGGATAGCCCTGGTTAACTGATCTTCTGGTTAGATCCGAACCAACTTCAAACGGGCAGGGCGGCCTAGGGCGTAGACCCCGGAAATAAGCCGTTGTTGTTCAGCGCAAAAGTCCGGGCGCTGAGTCGCTGACTGAGTGATTTCTGAGATTTTACCAAGTTTTTCGGCAAGTGGGCTGGCCCCGTTGCCACATAGTCATTGCCACCGGGATTGCCACGATAGTACCCAGCTGTGCTTGCATTTGGCTCCACTGGCGAGTTCGCGGCGCCTCTGGATGCTGCAGTTGAGTATCGGCAATATCGGCAGGACGAAAAAAAGACTGGACGTTGGCTTCAAGATGCGCTGAGGACGACGCCAACAGGAGTCTATTGTCATGTTGCTGTAATCGTTGAATTATTGAACTCGAGCATAAGTGCCCCTTTGAGCAGAGAGAGCCGGTTGGCAAACAAACTCAACAGTAGCTGTGGAAAATCAAGTGCATCATGAAGCGTTCAGGTAGCTCGAGCCATGAAATGTCTTTTATTCAAGATTGCAGACAACTCGATGCCGGGTATTCGCAAACAGATGCCCCTTCGCGATAAATCAAAATGCCGCTCTATCTCCATGTCTATGTACTGTTCGTAATCATGTCATGTGTGAATCTGCGTTTGCCAGCGCAGCTTCTTTCATCTTTCATGGGGAGTCCGACTCCGACGACGTGCCCTGCTCCTTGTGAATAACCTCGTCCTTGATGTCTGTGCGGAACTGTACCTCCTCTTCCCTCAGCTGGGCCATCAACGTCTCGTTGGCTCTCCAGACGGGCTTGATCTCGAACAGTCTGTCAATCTTCTCCAGGGGAACACCGCTCGTCTCGGGGATGAGGAAGAAGGCGAAGAAGAAGGCAAGGAATGACAGGGCGGCGAAGAAAAAGTACACGCCGTACCCCATGGCTGCGAACATCTGCTCCGTGAAACGGGAGACGAGGAAGTTGAAGAGCCAGTTGCTGGCGGTGGTTGCACCACTTGCCAAGGAACGGAAGTTGGGATCAAAGAATTCCTTTGGGTTTCGTTAGCTGCGGTTCAAGCATCGCCAGAGAGCGGATAAACTTACAGAGTTAATAACCCAGGGCGTACCGTTCCAGGTAGGGGTGTAGACGGCGGTCCACAGATAGAAGAAGACGATGGCAGCGATACCACTGCCCGTCAAGTGGTCTTGAGGGTTCTTGGTCGGCTCGACAATGCAGATGTAGCCTCCAATGACCCACATGCAGATAGAACCGGTGATGGCACCAATGAGAAGAAGCTTTCTTCTTCCGAGCTGATCGACGAGGAACAGCAGCCAGACAAAGGTCATGACGGCCTTGACGACACCAAAGATACCAGTCATCAGGTTGACAGTATTGCTCTCAACACCGATGCTGGAGAAAATGGTCGGGGAGTAGTAGTTGATGGCGTTGATACCGGAGCCGTTCTGCCAGAAGAACAGCATGCAGCCCAGGAACAGACGCCACTGCAGGTAGGGACGGGCACCGAGGGCCTTGAAGGGCTGCCAGAAGCCAAACCCAACGGTGGCCTTGGTGGACTCGTAGATCTTGTCGATACCGGCGATTTCCTCGGTAATGTAGACATCATTGGGCTCCAGCTGTCTGATCCAGCACAAGTTCTCCATAGCCTCCTTGCGTTTGTCGTGGAGGAAGAGCCATCGAGGAGACTCACGAATCCACAAGGAGCCAGCCAAAAGGAGACCAGAAGGAATCAGCTGGACTGCGAAAGGGATCATCCATTGCGAGCGGCCGACAGGAACACTGTTCTCAACACCGAACTGAGTGGCGTGTTAGTGATATTTGCGGAGTTTGGATGTTGAAGGCTTGTGTAAGAACTCACGTTGATCCAGAAACCAACCAAACCACCAATCTGCCAGCCAAGTTCGTAGAGACCGACCAGACGACCACGAATAGCCGGCGGTGAAAGTTCCGAGATGTAAACGGGGATAATGTTCTATGAGATCCGTGTATTAGCAATGGTTATACTATAATTTGTTGCTGCCCATCATGTGGAGAACCGGTCGATGACCGAGATGAGTCAGTCAGGGGCATCGTGAAGACTCACAGAAGCAACTCCAGTTCCCAAACCCGAAAAGACACGTCCAGCGTAGAGAATTCCGAGTCCAAGATTGCCGTTGGCGCCGCAGGTCAAGGCCGCTCCCAAAGAGAAAATAGTTGCTCCGATGGCCAAACAACGCTTGCGACCAATGAAGTGACTGAGGCAGTAGGTGAGGAGGGCACCGAAGAAGGCACCGGCGACGAAGAGAGAGACGATGTTCTCGCTGATAACGTGCCTCTCGGCGGTCGTCTTGTTGGTCAGGTCGAACTCGGCCTTGAAAGAGTCGAGACCGATGGTCGTGCCAATGAAGGCGCTCGTGTAGCCAATCATGCAGGATCCACATGACGCGATGCCGGCCAGCACGTAGATGCGCCAGTTGTAGACCGAAGGCGGCGTCGGCCTCTCTTCGACGATGGTGAGAAGACCCATTGTGTATCCGTCTATTACAACAGCTTAGACAAGTTGGTGTAAGTGAATTGTCGAAGAGGTGTTGTGTTCTTCGAGAAAGGGTGTTCTCGAGGATGAAGAGAGAAGAGACGAAAAAATTTGAGACCCTAACTGCGGGCGTGATCCATAAGTATGTCTATCGAAGCGGAGCCTCCCCATAAACCCCCATAATCCGTATCTCCCTCACAGACCCATACTCTGGGGGAAACAATCTGGGGCTTGCAGCTGACGACTGGAGTAAATCTGTCATTTGAGAGGATGCGTACGTCAAAATCTCACTCGGTACTTTGGAGTATTCTGCAGTATCTGGCTGGAATGCAGTGGTTCTCCGTCACATCCGTCTCCAGGTC